GTAACCGCTTTTCATAAATGTTTCTCTGATCTTCGCGCCATAATTATCTACATTCAAAAAGTCAATTAAATTTATTCAAGGTTACGAGTGTTAGAGATAAATATATGCTTTTTCCTCTTATTTTAAAGTTAAAAAATATGTGGATTAAAAGGCGAATATTGTGAAAATGTGAATGTAAAACGACTCGTTTAATTTGCTATAGCGCGAATTTACTTGTACTTAAAAATGGTTCTACTGGTTGGAACATAAAACATCAAAAAATAGACGCTTATGTAAATGTAAAAAAATAATATATGCACTATTACAGGGTACATCTTTTATGTCGTTATTTGAATAACTTTATCATTATATAACAGATGAGATAATGCCAATATCAAAGTAAAACCAAAATATACGATATTCAATATATTGGGTCTATGAAGAATAAGTCTACGGAGTTTTTATGGTCCTACCTCATTTTTCAACGTTTTTGCTAAACAGTTGTCGCACTCTTCGTAGTTTTGAACAAAATATTTGTAAGCAATGTGGGCGGTTATTATTCGATTTAACTTATTTTCAAACTGTATCAAGAAATGCCAATAATATTCCAGAAAGAAAGTTTGGTTGGCATACAGTGCGTTCGAAAAATAACGTTTTCGTTGTCCATAGTGTAGGTAGCGTTTATTGGGAAAAGTGTTGTAATTATAGAAAATACATTGTTTAGTTATAGCTTACTTTTATTCAGTACTTCCTCAAATCTCTCGCGTCGCCTATTATAGCCTGGTATCTTTGAAGGCAACTTGCAACTAAATTTTCCGCATATTCCACAGGAAGCGACTTCCAGGTATGTTGGAGTAGCCGAAGGAAATCTTTTGTTGACGTTTAATGTTTTCTTGATATTTTGCCTTTCATTAAAGCCCAAACATTCTCTATTGGATTGGCGTCTGATGACTATGCTGGCCAATCTAAAGTATCAATATGGTTTCCTTGTTTCGATTGAGAACAGAGTCTGCTCCTATGTTTCGGATCATTGTCTTCTTGCAGTATCAAATCAGAGTTATTTTTGACGTAAAGCATATTAGCTGACCTTTTTCTTACAATTTTATAAACCTAACGGCATTCGGCTTTTCTGTGACATCAAATTCTGCATCCATGAGAAGAGAAGAATCCATAAAATGCACTTTATGGGGCTGCTTAACACTCCTTTTAATAAATAAATGTATTGTTTATTTATCATTGCCAGAAACGTCCCAAGGATTGAACAATACAAAAGTTGGCTTATATGTGAATATTACATTGCTCTTATCACGGTTCATGCTTTCCAGCGCCCAATGCAATCTTTTTTCAATGTGTGTATTTGAAAGTAGGGGTTTGTTTACAATACTCCTGCGTTTGATGCTAGATCTCTGGAGTCTGTCCCGATTGTATTTAGAGATATAAGTTACACGTTTTAAATTTTTAAATTTTTTTGCTTCTCTTAACTGAGCAGTTTCTTTTACTTCACGGCACGACATGAGTCATTAAGAAGACAGAAAAAACCCGATCGAATTGAACTGACCTGAATTGATCGTAACTGAAGATGTGTTAACCTGCAAAATAATAAAAACATTTTGCTGCGAATTGATCCCACAAAGGAAAAAAGTTATTTTTTGAACACACTGTAACTGATTGATTGATTAATTTTGAGGTATGCACCGCGACCTACGGTCTATTGTGCCCTCCCCTAAGTCATATCGTGTCATCTAGGCCCAGCATATTGATAAATTCCAAAATTCTGCTGGGTGCTAGTGAGGCGATACAATCCCTGTGTGGAAACATGGATCCCAGGGCCTTGATTCTGCGTCTGCAGACTGCTGTGCAGTTCATCAGCAGATGTTCGGGGGTTTCCGGCTCTATGTCGCAGAACCGGCAGTTTGCAGAAGAGGCTATGCCCATGTTAAAGAGATGCTTCTTGAGCCTGCAGTGGCCGGTGTAGAACGCTACCAGTAGCCGGAATTTGTTTCTTGGGAGATTAATTATGGCATTGAACCGCTTGAGGTCGTAACCCCCCATTAGCAGTCTGGCATGGTGCATGCCCTGGAGTTGTTGCCAGTGTATCTCCCTGTCTGATCTTTCCTCCCTGCGGAGGAACTCTTTGATGGTATGTGGACCAACCGCTAAGTATGGTTCCGGCCCTACCATTCTTGTAGAGGCTGCAGAGCGAGCTAACTCGTCGGCTAGTTCGTTCCCAGCTATACCCCTATGGCCGGGCACCCAAATAAGGTGCACTCGGTTGTGCTCAGATAGGCTGTTCAGCCGTTCTATGCACTCCATCACTAGGAGAGATCTGACCTCATAGGCATTGATCGCTCTTAGTGCCGACTGACTATCGCTGAGTATAGCGATACTTTTATTGCGATAGTTGCGCTGGAGATTTATTCCTACACACCGACTTATAGCATAGACCTCGGCTTGGAATATGCTAGGGAAACTTCCCATGGGAATGGAGAGTTTGGTGCTTGGCCCAGCGACCCCTGCACCAATCCCTTCCTCCGTTTTAGACCCGTCGGTGTACCACTTGATGGTGCAACCCTTTAGCAGCTGGTCTAGTGCAGAGTCCTTCCACTCAGATTTGCTGCCAAGGGTTACTTGGAACTTCCTGCTGAAGTTTACTACTTTGGTAATGCTATCCCTTGGGAGAAGGGCTAGTGGTATTTCCTCACTTAGCTCTTTCATCTGCTGGGATGAGATTACCTTCCCTTTGCCAGCTCCCTCTGCTGTCATTTGGAGCAGAGTTCGTTTGGCTGTCTGTTTGATTACCAGGTGTAGCGGTGAAAGTTCTAGCATGACCTCTAGTGCTGCGGTCGGACACGTTCGCATTGCTCCCGACGCGCAGATGCAGGCAAGTCTTTGCAGCTTCGACAGTTTAAGTCCTACCGAAGTCTGCGATGCTTTCGAACCCCACGATACCGCTCCATACGTGATAATCGGTCTCACAATCATGGTGTACATCCACCTGATAGTCCTTGGGGAGCACCCCCAGGATTTTCCAGCAAGTCGGTTGCACACCATGAGTGCTTTTGTAGCTTTGGTTAGGGTCTGGTCCACGTGCTGATTCCATCGCAGTGTGGAATCCAGCGTGAGTCCCAGATACTTGACCGTGCTGGACATCTCAACCACTCTGCCGTCCAGGGATATATTCCTGAGGCCCGGCAGTGACCTCCGTCTGGTGAAGGGAATGATTGTAGTTTTAGCGGGGTTGATATTTAAGCCAACCCCCCTACACCACCCCTTTGCCAGTCCCAATCCCCTCTGAACGATATCGCAGAGTATGTCTTCAAATTTTCCCCTAGCTAAGATAACAATGTCATCCGCATATCCCTGACAGCGGATTCCATTGCTAGTCAGCCGCTCAAGGAGGTCGTCTACAACTAGGCTCCAAAGTAGGGGGGATAGCACTCCGCCCTGTGGGCAACCTCTTGTTGTACCCAGACGAATTTTAGTTTCGCCTACTGCGGCTTCCGCCACCCTAGTGCGCAGTACGGCTTCAATCCATCTGCGCACTGGTGCTGCCACACTCCTTTTTTCCAGTGCTCTTGACACGCTCTCGTGAGACGTGTTGTCGAAAGCACCTTCTATGTCGAGGAAGGCGCATAGCGTCACCTCGCCCCCATCTAACGAATTCTGGATCTCTGAGGTTAGCTGGTACAGAGCAGTGTTAGTTGATCTACCTGCTCTGTAAGCATGTTGCTTCTCATGAAGCGGTGAAGCTTTCAGCACCTTCGATCGTAATTCGTGGTCTATGATCTTTTCCATACTTTTGAGTAGGAAGGAAGTAAGACTTATTGGCCTGAACGATTTCGCCAATGAGTAGTCTTTCCTCCCTACTTTGGGTATGAAGATCACCTTTGCGGTGCGCCATGGTTCTGGGATATATGCCAGCGCTAGGCTATCCCTCATCAGCCGAACAAGGTGGGGCAGTAGCACCTGCTCCCCCTGTTGCAGAAAAGCTGGAAGGATTCCATCCGCACCCGGTGACTTGTATTTTTCAAAAGAGGCCAGAGCCCACTTGATGGAGTCTGCAGTGAAGAGCTGTTTTGCGACTGTCCAGTCCAAGCGTGACGGCCTTCGTTCGACCATAGGTCGAATCTGGTCTTCATGAATCGTCTCCGGGAAATGCGCTAGTAGAAGGGCCGTGGCTCTTTCTTCTGCGCTGGACGTATAGGTCCCATCAGATCGTTTGATCGCTAGTACTGTGTCCGTCTTGCCTCTAGCCAGAGCCTTATGCAGTCTAGCTGCCTCTGGGGTAGAGGAGACGCTCTCACAGAACTTCCTAAAGCTCTTCTGTTTCGCCGTCCTAATCTCCTTATTGTAGGTAGTTAGGCTGCATCTGTATTCCTCCCAGTTTCCGGTGCGCTTAGCCTTATTGAATAGCTTGCGCACCGTTTTTCTCAGTACTGAGAGTTTACTGGACCACCAGGAGCAGTTACTGCTCTTGGCGACTGTCTTTAGGGGGCAGCTGCTTTGATAGGCTTCTGTGATGGATTGGTTTAGGGCAGACAGTCTGCTCTCCAATCCAGAAGCCGTTGCGCTTATATCCAGCTGCTCCCTACTGCTAACATTTATTTTAAGCGAGTCCCTAAAAGCGGCCCAGTCCGTGTTCCTAGGGTTACGCTTGGGAGGGAGTTGCCCGACACCCATCCCCAGCACGAATCTTATGATACGGTGATCCGACATGGAGGGTTCCGATGATACCCTCCATTGTGAGATCAGCCCCATCTCAGGCTCGCTGCTGAGAGTGATGTCAAGCACCTCCCTTCTGGCACTAGTTACAAAGGTGGGTTCGCACCCCACGTTTGCTATACTTAAATTATTACTAACTATAAACTCGATAAGAGACTCACCCCGTGTGTTGCAGTCCGTGCTGCCCCATTCGATATGGTGGGCATTCGCATCGCAGCCCATGATGAGGGGCAGTTTATTCCGCCTGCAGTGCTCTACCAGGTTGCCGATTGCCTCTGGGGGTGCTATCGGAGTCTCCCCCGGAAAATAGGCCGCTGCCACGACGAAGTCCGCTCCTTCGTCGTTCGTGGCTTGTACAGCGACCAGGTCCTGTGTTAGGAACTCTGAAAGACAGAAATAATCAATATCGTTCCTAAGTACTACGCAGGTTCTGGGTCTCTCACTTGAGAGGTCCCAAATTACCTTGTTTGACTTCATTTTGAGGCCCCTGACCTCTCCTTTTCTGACCCATGGCTCCTGGATCAGTAGTATGCCCAGACCATCGATCGTAAACCTGCTCGCGATAACCGCCGAGGCTGACGCCGCGTGGTGCAGGTTTACCTGGGCAACTTCTATTCGCGGACCCACTACAGGATCGGCTCCATGAGGAACTGGTCCTCATTCTCACCGTCCTCCGCGATGTCTCCCGCCAGGTTCGTGAGCCCCTCCAGAAGCTCCTGAGTGGAGGGTAGCGCCCCCCCTTGCTCGCCCGTCTTCTCGGAGGGGACCTTCACCAATGTCTCGGCAGTTGCCGCCTGCTTTGACGTGCTTGCGCAGGGATGAGTCGCAACCTCATCCACCTGCATTTTTTCCCCTGCATCGCACATGGTGGTCGGCTTAGGCCTAAATGGCCTCAGGACCACCGAGCTGAACCTGTAGTTCAGACGGAAGCTCACCTTCCTGACGAATTTGTACGATTCGTCATCTATGGAGAGGTTGAGCCTCCACCCTGAATCCTCTTCAGTGCTGCTGGTCACCCGCCATGCCGATGTATTGAGGCCATCGTTCTGGTTGCGGATGAGCCCTAGAGCAAATTCGTAAGGCTTGCCTGCGCATCTGGGGAGGAATACCGTCATGCTATGCATGGGCGGAATTTCGTCCCCCTTTTTCGCGCAGAGGATGGGTCCATTCCAGCCTGCCAGCTTGGGAGCGATCTCCCGCAGCCAACAAGCCGACCTTTCATCCTTGCAGTCTACCTGCAATATGCCTCCCTTGAAGTAGACCCCATGGAAGGAGGCTTTGTATCCAGACCCCCTGAATACCTCCTCCATGAGCAAATCTTGGAGCACGGTGAGCTCCTCCGACCCCAGCGTCTCCGCCGGGTAGTTCAGCGGCAGCACCGCCATACGAATGCCTTTGAGGGCATCCGCATACCTGCGCTGTCCCTCCGCTACCCGGGGGGGATTAGGGGCGGAGCGGTTGCCACCAGTCGCATGAGCCACGTTGCCCCTCTGCCGCTTGGTGTTGGGCGGCTCCTGTGGCGTCAGCTGTCCACTTTTTCGCTTCGCCGCTTGGGTGGTCGAGGGAGCTGCCCTTTCGCAACCTCGGCCTGCGGGCTGAGTTGCGTTTACTGGGCAGTGGCCTCGATTGTTGCCATTGCGTTTCCTAGTGGCCGCAGTATTTCCACCCTTTTGTTTACCGGAAGCCGGGGAAGTGCTGTCACCTCTCACCCTGTTCCGCGCTAGGTCTTCTGCTACCTCCGGAGTTCTTCCCTCCTGGAGGTGCCTCAGGTACCACTTCAGGCTGGCACCGCTCATACCTTTTCTCCTGGGATCGTCCTGTCCTCCCGGACATCCCGTTGGTGGCAGGGGGGGTAGTCTGCCTCCCCTCTTCCTTTTCCGTTTAAGAGCCCCTCCGGAGGTCGCCCGTTGCGACTCCTCTACATCCGAGCAGTTGCTCCTGCTCGAGAGAGTCTCCGTGGGGTTCTCTCTTGTTTTTTCCGCAGCGGCCGCAGTCGAAATCGCCTGCTGAACGCCGCTGCACGAGGGCATGTCATCGTCGTCGTCCCTGGCATGCTCCTCGAACAGCGCTCGCTCCTCTGGCGAAAGGGCGTCCAGGAAGCTGAACTTTCGTTTAGCCCCTGATTCGCCCTTACCTGCACCGCTGCCCTTGTCGTTGCCGTTTTCCGTAGTCGTTAGCTGTTGTTGTTGCCGAGATCCGTTTGTTTTTGTTGTTGTTTCTTTTTTGTTTTTGTTGTTCATCTTGTTCGTACGACCCTTGGCTCGACGAGGCGAGCCGTCGGGTCAGCTTTCTGTATGGGGAACAAAGAGTCCGCCGCGCCAGAGCCCCTTGACGCGGTAAGGCCACCGTTACTTCCCAATGCGGCCCGGTGTTGGGAAGGCTCCGTTAGAATACAGCCGAATTTACCTCCTGGCTGCAAATCATCCAATGGGCACGGGAGTCGCATAACACCCTGGATTAGGAGGTGGCAGCTCTTGGTTGTCGCACGCATACGGCCTCTGACAACCAGTGTGAGGGTGCAAGCACCGCTCGCACCAGTTGGGAGATGCCGAGGATGCCTTGCGACTTAAGCCCCTGCACCACGGCAAGGTGCCTGCCATTCGCAGAGGTCTGTAACTTACTAAACTTATTGTAATTTTAAACTGTAAATCTACTATATAACTTTTCAATTAAGTTTCATTAGTTTTATATCCTCAACAGTTTGTACCTATTAAGTTTGCAATGAAGTGTGTAACACCCAGGAGGAAAAGTCGAAGATTCTATAAAATTCACATATATGTTATATAAATGATCAGCGTGACGAGCTGAGTCGATTAAGCCATGTCCATCTGTCTGTCTGTAAATGCGCGAACTAGTCACTGAGTTTTTGAGATATCGATCTGAAATTTTGTACATGACCGTTTTCCCCTTGAGTTTGCTCATATGTCAGAACCGCCGATACCGGTCCACTAAAGCATATAGTTGCCAAACATATAAAACGATCAAAATCACTTTCTTGTATGTAAAACTTTTTTATTTGACGAGATATTTTTACTAAATTTTGACATGAATTATTGGCAACGGTGCCATCTCCGAAAAAATTCTGATGCGACCATTATAGCAAGTAGGTGCCATACAAACTGACCAATCAAGTTCTTGTATGGAAACTTTTTTTTTATAAGTGAAGAGTATTATAGCCTCATGACAGCCGAAGTTAACATATTTTTCTTGTTCACCATGCTATTAAACATAAAGTTACTGTGCTATTAAACAAATTATTGATTAACTAGTCTACCTATGGTGCTAAATGCATTTCATCGTATTTATTATGATAACAATGTAAACAACAATTTTTGTTTCATATTGTGTGTAAAAAACTTGTTATTTGAGTATTTATATACATATGTATGTATATATACTATGTATAGAAACAAAGGGTGTATATTATTTAGTTGTCTTTTATTTGCTCTTACTTTCCAGACGCTGTACAAAGGCAAAGAATTGTACCTGATAAAGATTACGATGTAGCATGACAATTAAAATTTAGTATTATTAAATATTCATTAGCATTTTAACAATTCTACAGCGCTCATCAACGCTCAATGAAAATTGGTCGAGTATATTTTTGTACTTAACTATTTTCTATTGGCTATATATGTATAAAGCTGGTTACATTCCAAGGATATTCGACTAAATTTTCTTCGTAATATTCATATCAAGAACCAAAAGATAGTTATGTATACTTCACATTCAGACAAAAGAACATCAGGGATTTATGAAATCACCCAAGCTTCAACCATCATTGAATCTATTGCCGAAGAGAGCCAACTTCAAACAGAAACTAGTTTTTTCTATAGACTTAATGGTAAGTTCAATTCATTTAAATACATTCCAATAACTATTAGAGCAATTTGCTCCAAATAACGCTTATTAAATAAAATTTGTGTTACTATTGTACTTATACCTTTAAAGTTCCCTTATAAAGCATGATGCGATAAATACTATGTCAGGTAAAAAGTTCGTTCGGTTTTTTATTGATTTTTGAAAAGATGATAACTTTGTGTACATTTGTCCGATTTCGCCGTTTTGTTCGTAAACTTGTTGCCAACGAGATGCCAATTCCATTATTCCCGTCCCTATTGGCAAAAAACTCGGAGAGCCAATTTTCACAGCCCTCTCTTGAGGCCCACTTCTCACCATTAAGCGCGTTTGCCATGGACAGGAAAAGATGGTAATCACATCGTGGCAGGTCTGGACTATAAGGTGGGTGCATTAGGAGCTCCCATCTGAGCTCCCGGAGCTTCTGGCGCGTCACCAAAGACGTGTGTGACCTGGCGTTGTCCTGATGGAACACAATTCGGCCTCTGTTGATCAAAGATGGCCTCTTCTGGATGAGTGCTGCCTTCAAGCGGTCCAGTTGTTGGCAGTAGAGGGCCGAATTGAGCGTTTGGCCATAGGGGGGCAGCTCGCAGTAGATGATTCCTTGTCCATCCCACCAAACACACAGCAAAACCTTCCTGGCCGTCAATCCGGTCTTGGCCACCATCTGGGCCGCTTCCCCGAGCTTTGACCACGACCGTTTGCGCTCGATGTTGTCATAAGTGACCCATTTTTCATCGCCAGTCACAATCCGCTTCAGAAACGGGTCGATTTTGTTGCGATTCAGCAGAGATTCGCAGATGGAAATTCGGTCCATTATGTTTTTTTGCGTTAGTTCGTGTGGCACCCAAACATCGAGCTTCATTTTGAATCCAAGGTTATGAAAATGGTTCCAAACGGTTTTGTGGCTTATCTTTAGTTCCTCATCAATTGAATAAGTGCTCACCTGTCGGTCTATTTCCACTACTTCCATGATTTGATCGCAATTTTCGACGACAGGCCTCCCGACGCGTGGTGCATCTTTGACACCGAAATTACCGGAACGGAACCTAGCAAACCACTTTTGCTACATGTTCGCTTACAGTATCGGGCCCATAAACTAAATTAATGTTTTCAGCCGCTTTGGCTGCTTTTTCGCTTTGATCGAAGAAAAATTGTAAAGTATAGCGAATTTTCTCTTTGCTGGTGTCCATCTTTGACGAGCGCTCACAACGTACTGAGTCAATCAATCGAAAAACTGTCAAAGACAAACTTTAAGCGCGAATAAACACGTTTTCAACGCCGTATAGTATGACATGATGCGACACGTAACACTAGTGCTATGGACAATAACGCCATCTCTTAGATAAAAACCGAACGAACCTTTTACTTGACCTAAAATAAGTATAATGCACAACCTATAAGACGATCTCGGTTCCTCTATCCTTAATTACATCGTTTTGTCTGGATGGTTTAGACCGTATCAGTTGCTATTAATCAATACTAAGTTCGGTCACCTACAAAGGTTTGCGTACAGCACCAAATCAAGTTGCATAAAATAAGTAAAGAAGTTCGTATACACTCGAACATTATATACTTTCGCAAATCGTAAGAATTTAAGGCATACAAGTATTTTCGAGTGTCAACCGAACTCCATAGTTAACAATTAAGTTCGGGTGGCGCAGAATATTTTATGCTCCCTCAATTTGCAAGAATCAAACGAAGGTATTTTTGATCTTTGAAGGTAGTTTTGATGTATTAGGTAATCTTTATATTAAAAGCTGTCTTCGATTCGCTAAGCGTTGCTCTCCAGATGCTCAAACAAACGGGCAGCACTTGTGGTGCAACTCTGCGCTTACATGTCTTCCGACGCATACGCAACAGTGTTAAGATTTTTTCTTAGTGGGAAAATTATTTTTTTCGCGTTAAAAAACGTTGCTGTTACCCTTTATTTTTGTTGTCTATAAATTACTATAATTGATTTTCCGGCTCAAGTTTTAAAAAAAACAATAAAAAAAGAAATTTGTATATTCATTTGTTATTTGATCTATTCACAATCGTAAATCTGATCGAAAATATGCATAACAAAACTTGGTAGCACGGAAGATAGCACCTATGCCAGTAAAAGGGGTATGACCACTGTATAATTTAAAAAAAAGTGGTATTACGCAGGAACGATGCGCACGCGGTGGCTGCCAGCACGAGAAGGGCCATGTTGTATAGTCTTTTATAATAACAGCAGTCGTCCTCGAGCCTAACTGTTGACTATGTATTCGCTGTTCCGTTTTGTGTCGTATTCGTTTCAGCTTTCCTGGTAAGCCAGGATCAACTGACTTGCTAACATGGTGTTGCCATGTTATATTGTCGTATATTATATTATATTGTGGCTCGTCCCACAAGTATTCCCCTTCTCGGAGAACGTTATCGAAATCATTGATAATTTAAGAAGGTGATCAGTAGTTCAGCGGAATCTGACGCGTCTCTTGGGTAACGGTGTAGGTAAGCTGAAATCGGATTCTGATGGGCCGTACGATGACGACGAAAATCGTCCCATCCCAGATTCGGATGACTCCGGTGAAGTTAATGTGATAAGCGTTGTGTTTGTGTTTTTGTCATCGTCGTTCTGCTCACTATCGTTGAGCTTATCGTCAGGAAGGAGGTAAACAGGCTTTAGTCGATCGATCGAAACTGTAGTATTTTCGCCTCTGACGTTTACGATTAAATGCCTTGAAATGACTCGGTGAGATCCTTCATACGGTGAAGTGAATGCGTGGTGTGGAGCGTCGCGACGAACAAAAACGTGTGAACGTGTCACTAGGTTTTAAAAATTAATGTTTTTCTCTGACCATGTCGGACGGTGGGTTGAGGTGCGAGGTCTGCGAAGTAGTTTCTCAAGCGTTCTGCCATATTGGATGGTGGCAAACCAGATCGTGACGAAGGAGCGAGGAATTCACCTGGTAGACGAACTGGCTCCACAAACGAGATCGGCAGGATCCAGATCTTCCTTCTTCCTTCCAGGCAGCGCGAATTCCAAGAAGGACGATCGGTAGCATGTCGACCCATGAGTTGTTTTCGTGACAACGAATCGCATTCTTCAAATGATGGTGAAGACATTCCACCATTCCATTCGACTGCGGATGGAAAGTGGTGGTGTGTATGTGTTTACTGCCGAGGAGACGAGCGAGAGCGTTAAAAAGTTGACTCTCAAACTGTGTACCCTGGTCGGTCGTGATTCGTAACGGTACTTCGTAGCGGCATATCCACCCGTCGAAAAGTGTGCGAGCGACACATTCGGCCCCGATATTATCAATAGGAAATGCCTCTGGAAACCTGGTGAAACGGTCGATGATTGTCAAACAGTTACGATATCCTCTTAATGTTACGTATGGGCCAATGATGTCCACGTGAATATGTTCGAAACGTCGTCTGCGGCATGGAAAGTTTTGGATTGGTGATAAAACGTGGCGTGGCTTATTTCGTTGGCAAGTTAGGCAAATTTGGGCCCACAAACCGCAATCGCGGTTAATGTTGGTATACCGTATACTCTTTTTCAAATCGATAACTTTGTTGTTGCTTTAAGATGTAATTTTTTTTGACAACAGAGCAGAAGCGACCAGAGAAATGGCGATTCAAAGACAGCTATTATATATGAATCTTTGTTTTTTTTTTGCAGGTCGCGGTTACGTCCTAATTTTCTTTAATGCAATTTACTCGTTTCGTCATCATCATACGTGTTCGTTCTGATTACATATATCTTTATATATCTAGTACTATTTGAACAAAAGTACATATTCCCTCAGCGAAGAAGGCTTTTGGTTCCAGCAACTTGGTAGCCGTTGCAGATAGAATAAGCTCATCAGCCATTTCATTCACGCCATGCCATTGTAACCTTTTTGATCTCTTTGACTGTCAATAACCCTAAGACTTTAGGCGTTACACTTGATAGTTTGTGCTCCCTCACTGCACAGACGACCGCGATTATTGCCAAAGTACAGAGCCGCAACAAAACCCTCAAGTAGGTAGTTGGCAGCTCCTTGGAAAAGTACAATGAAACGATGTTGGCAACATACAAGGCAATCAGCCGGCCGGTCATCAACTAGCCTGTACCGATGTGGTCGCCTGGATATAGTGAAACGCAATCGAAAAAGCTTCTGATGTATCACAATACTTTACTCGGTAAAATTGCTGAATGGCTTCTGCAGTCCCTGCAGTCATTTGCTTGAATATCATAAAGAAGTCATTCCATGAATAATTCGACGTCATTGAACAGTACACCGACCAGACTGCGGACGCAACAAACTTCAGACACGCAACCGAATTACCCCAAGAATCTAGAGTAACACTTAAGCAACTATGTTTTGAATACTGTAGCAAGTTAACTACTTATCCAGAATTGACCCCAACATACCAAATATATTTCCTGCGTGCAATGAGTCCCCGCATGACTCTGACCACCTCTTTATATGCCTAATGAATCCCTTTCATCTAACACCCCTCTCCCTTTGAAGAGTTTCCTGGGCGTTAGATGACTTCGATGACAAACAATTTTAACCTTACCACCCAAGCGGGTATTAGATAACCGCTACAATAACAACGAATGAGCAGCTTCTTGAAGAGAAATGTGCGTGTACAAAATTCCATATTGATATCTCAAAATGGAAGGACTAGTTCTCGTATATATATATATTTTATCGGGTCTCCGACGGTTCTTTCTGTTCTTCCATTAGCACTTCATTAAAGTCTTGCTGCTTGTAACATAACACCCGTGCTATTAAAATTAAACTCCGGGGAACATTTAGCAAAAAATTACTTGTATATTTATGTAAGTACGCAATTTCTATTTTATATCTACATCATTAAATGCAAGGTCTTGATTTCAGTTATTTTAATTACGGCACATCATGCGTTTTGTCAACATAATTCTTTATTTGTTTTTATTTTCAGCTCGAATACCTGCTCGTTTGGTACTTTACTTTTTATCATGGTCTGGCTTTTTGGTTTCATTTATGATGCGCAACGATATAAACTTTGCTCTGGTGGCAATGGTGCGTCCATCGGACGTGTCGAGTTTCTTAAGCACTTCTAATTCGAGCAGCAAATTATTTAGCTTCGCTGATAAAAATGAAACAAGCAAACAACTTTTTTTCAATAATGACAATACGAATATATCTGTGATAAACTCAACAATGGTAATATTTTAAGTGACATTTTTATTGTTTCGAATATATTTACGTTTTTATAATTTTAGAACTCCGAAGACAATGACGATTTATATGATTGGTCTCCATCGGTGAAATCAATAGTTGTGAGCTCGTTTTACTGGTGCTATGTATTGTCACAAGTTGTCGGTGGGATTGCTACACAATACTTTGGTACAAAACAAGTATTTGGGTGGTCTCAATTTGCTACAGCATTATGTAGTTTATGCATTCCCTTCGGGGCTGACCTACACTATTCCGCTGTGATAGTATTACGATCTGTGCAAGGATTCGCTTCTGGCTTAACATGGCCAGCTATGTACGCAATAGTTGGCTATTGGATACCGTTAGCCGAACGGTCCCGGTTTATGTCTAGCTTTCAAGGCTTTAGCATAGGTATCGGCTTAACATACCCTTTATGTGGATTTATCATTGATAACTTCGGCTGGCGTTATGTCTTTTTTACCACTGGCTCCTTGGGTATGATTTGGTGTATATTATGGTATTACTTAGCATTTAACACGCCTAAGGAACATCCACGAATTTCTGCCCAAGAAATTGAATACATTGAAGTAAGTGTTAGTTCCGAAGCAAAGGAAGCAATAGGCATGAAAGTGCCATGGAAATCAATTTTTACTTCTTTGCCTGCGTATGCAATTGGCATAACTACATTTGGCAGAATTTGGATTCATTATATATTTATTGTGTGTGGTCCAAATTTTATGAAAAATATGCTTAAATTTAATTATAAAGCCAACGGTTTTCTCTCCGGCATGCCTTTTATATGCTCCTATATTTCGTCTGTTTTATTTTGCTATGTTGCGGATAAATTGATGCTAAGTAATTGGATGAGTCTCACAAATGTTCGCAAACTCTTTACCGCATTGTCACAAGTCGTACCCGGCATTCTAGTATACTGGGTTGGATATATTGACAAAAATATTGTATTATTATTGATAGTTTGGTTTGTGGCTGTTACATTCATAACAGCCTCATATGCTGGTGCAATGGCTAACATTGTTGATATTGCTCCGAATTTAGCTGGTCCGGTTCTTGCTTTTTGCCAAACAATACATATGTCAGCATCATTTCTTTCTCCGCTGGTATCGGGTATAATTGTCACAAACGAGGTATATTTTCTCTTATTTGTCATCTTTCGTTTTACATACGCTATATGTTGCAATTATTTTCAGAGTTCTATAGAACAGTGGCGTATAGTATTTGGTGTTTCATCGGTAATTGCAATATTAACATATGTCGTTTACCAAATCTATGGAACTGCTGAAATTCAGAACTGGAACTACCCACAGTCACGCAACGATGGTTCTGCAGAAGAAAGCCAAATCCTTAATAAGCGGAAAGAGCATATACGGAAAGATGATTTGTAGACTATGTAATGAAATATATGTACTTAACTAACTTACAATTTTTTATACATCGCTTTTGAATGTGTACTCTTAACAAATGCAAAATTTACAAAGGCATATAACAATACTATGTGTATGTATAAGTTGTTTTGCATTTGTTAATCACGTGAAGGTCATAATATTATTTAAATAATGGTTGGTTTATCTAAGTAATCGATTGGGAAATAAGCAAAAATTACAAGTTATTAGAAAAAAAATAAAATAAAAATTGAACCAACTCTATTTACATACCTTTCAAAACAGAATTCTTTCTTAACAAATAAGTAATGTGGAATACCAGAAACAGTTTTATTTGATGCATAAAAACCTGTGCTACTCGAAATATATATCTATATATATATATATATATATATATATATATATATATATATATGTAAATATCTAGTAAAGCTTTCGCATGGGTCACTTTCCGAACTCGTAATACTTTATAGTAATATTTATTATGTGTTAGCTTTGAATTATGAAGTCACAACATATAATAATAGTAATTTGATGTAGTCACATAAGATGACTTGAACATATTCTTGATGTGAGAGATCCCAATGCATTTGTTAAATTCTGCTGGAATTTAATTGTTTGAATGTCGTGGAAATGGAGTAGCACTCATGACTATCATTGAGGGGTTTTTCATATAAAAAATTAAATAATTTATTAAAGCATTTTTTAATTCCAAAGACACATATTTTACAAAGATTTCGCGAAATTTTCAAAGGAAGATATTTAAAACTCGGTCATTACGACGTTGTTGTTGTTGTTACAACGATTATCTAATCCCCGTTTGGGTGATAAAATCTAGATTCGTTGTCGTCGAGGTCATCTAACGGAAGGCCCAGGAAACGAGCTGTTTCGCCGGGGTCGGACCATAGGGAAAGGGGTGTTAAATGAGTGGGGTTTGTTGGGCATGCAAAGAGGTGGTTAGTGTCATGCGGAGACTCATTGCATGCAGGACATGTGTTTAGTATGTCAGGGTCTATTCTGGATAGGTAGGAGTTTAACCTGCTACAGTATCCAGAACGAAGTTGCGCGAGGGTCACTCTAGATTCGCGAGGCAACTCGAGCTCAGTGTCTGCAATGGGTGGTGGTTTGACTCGTATTACGCCATTCACTGACTTCGTTATGTCTTTAACCGGAAGCATACGGGCCTCGCTATGTGGTGTTCGATTGGGGAATCAAGAGGACCCGTGATAGTCCGGAGTGCAGTGTTCTGAGTCTGAAGTTCTTATTCTGCGTGTCACTGCATCCAGGCGACCATATTGCGGCTGCATTGAGGACCGGCCGGCCGATTGCCTTGTATGTTGCCAAAACGCTTTGTCCTTTCATGAGCTGCCGGCAAGCGACTGAGATTTGTGCGGCTCTGTACTGGCAGTTATCGCGGTCGTGGAGGATGAAAAGCACAGACTGTCCAAAGGACGCTAAAATTTTAGGATTTGTCGGAATTTTGTGCCATCGGCTGAAATGTTCAGGTCCAGTCTGTACTCCTTCGTCCAATTGGTGAAGATGGTCGCGTGGATTTAGTGGGGAGAGTGTAGTCCCGCAGAAAGAAGGAGAAAGGTCGGAGAGGTAGCGTTTACTTTTTGAACACATGCATCGACCTTGTCGACGTCAATATCGCGTACATTCGCGTACGAGGTCATTGAAATTCCCGCTGGTCTGGGATTTTCGAAATGTAGAAATAAACAGTAGCGGAGAGGACACCGCCCTGCGGAACCCTGTTTAATTTTCCTGAGTTTGAGTTTTGAATGAATAGCTGGATGGAGTGTCGACCGCTCAGGTAGTTCATGGTCCACGTTTAGCCCTGGAGGAGCGTTGATTGTTCCAGGTCCTCAAGTACGTTGCGTGATTGATCGTCAAAAGCTTTTGACAAGT